AATATTAAACATTTCGTGTTATAATATTTTCATTTCTTTTCCTCTATTTTTTCATAGCCTTTAGTGTATGTGTGAACACATAGGTGTATATCAAAAGTTACAGGTGTGGCATATTGATTGTTCTATATTTACTATGGCACAAGAAGGTTTCTTGGGTTGAAACTGAACATAAGTGTATTGGAAGTTTGTTAAAAATTTATGTTTGACATAATTTATCAGTTTAGCACATAAAATACATTTAATGATTACGTCAAAGTCTTAGATTTGNATTTCGTGTTATAATATTTTCATTTCTTTTCCTCTATTTTTTCATAGCCTTTAGTGTATGTGTGAACACATAGGTGTATATCAAAAGTTACAGGTGTGGCATATTGATTGTTCTATATTTACTATGGCACAAGAAGGTTTCTTGGGTTGAAACTGAACATAAGTGTATTGGAAGTTTGTTAAAAATTTATGTTTGACATAATTTATCAGTTTAGCACATAAAATACATTTAATGATTACGTCAAAGTCTTAGATTTGCTGCAGATGTATCGGATTAGAGGTGTAAAATCTGAATAAATGTTAATAAATGCTACACATTAAATTTAATTTAATTAATGGCTAAATTTAAAAGAAATACATGTTTTGTCTTAGACCTCGTTGGATGACACAAGTACTGTGCTTGGTACTGGTATCACTAATATTAGGAATACTTTTTATTACACGTGCTTGGATTGGAATTCTCATTCTAAGTTCTCAAAAAGTTGAGACACTAGATACAGAAACACTATTCGAAAATGCCAAGATTGCTACGTGGCTACGTCGGGCTTGGATGTACGCCGAGTCGACGAAGGAGAACCAGAATGCGGACAGGAACTACACCATCAGTACGTCACAGCAGTCCTACACCAACTCCACAAGGCAATATATTTATAGCAATATTTTCCCGATTGTGCTACATAAAAAATAAATAATCCTTATAATGCTATGTGAAATTTGCAGGCAGATCATTGTCTGTTATTACACCATATCGGAGTACCTGAACACGCTCTGGGAGCTCCGTCCGTCGCACATTGACCCTAATCTTTGTACGCATATTATCGTGGGTTTTGCGAGCGTGGTAAACTGCAGCCTCGATTTGGGTAGTAACACATCAACCTACAAAGACGTTATTGCCATCAAAAAGGTGCATCCAGAATTAAGGGTCATGATAAGTGTTGGCGGTAGTAACGAGCTCCACTTCGGTTTTTCAGAAATGGTAAAGAATCATGCTAATAGAAAAAGGTAAGACGCATTGATTTCTATCATATCTAAATATAGAACACTCGTCTTGAATGCAATCAATATTTATTACAGATTTATAAGGTCTGTTTTAAATGTGACAAAGTCATTTGGTTTTGATGGCTTAGATATAGATTGGGAATTTCCAGCGTGGCTTGGAGCTGACGATCGCGAGAAACTTCATTTCACACAACTTTTAGAAGAATTAAGGAGAGAATTTCAACGAGCCAAAGAAACATTAATTCTTTCTGTTGCTGTGGCTGCTCCTCAAGCTATTGTTGAGCAAAGCTATGATGTTGTAGAAATGGCAAAGTAAATAATTTTTAAATTATAATTACTTATGTTACTGCACAATGCCTACTGTTAATAATTATTAATTGTTTTAGATACGTGGACTTTATAAACCTTATGTCCTATGATTATCACTTTTATGTTTGGTATTATCCAATCACTGGACTCAATGCACCCTTGTTTCCATGTTCTTCAGATTCGGGGTACCTTTCTACGTTAAATGTTAATTTCTCAGCACACTATTGGCTCTCGAAAGGCATGCCAAAAGAAAAATTAATTATCGGTATTCCTGCTTGTGGCCACACTTATACATTGGATAATTCTCTAAATCATGGATTACTTGCTCCAACAAACGGCGTTGGAAAATTAGGTACCCTGGGTTTCATTGCCTATTCTGAAGTTTGCCAATTCCTTCAAAACGGTGCAGATAGCGTTTTCGAAAATGAAAGCAAAGTTCCATATGCTTATAAAGATAAAGAATGGATATCATATGACGATATTGAAAGTGTCCGTTATAAGGTGCGCATAAAAGTTTTTATCACAATTGTACTGTAGGAACATAACTCTTTTAGCTTGAAATAAGCATTTCGTTCTTTGAAACTATATGATATGCCTTAATTTGTATGGCGGTCAAGTACGGAAGAGACGAATTAATGGTGTGCTAGTATCCTTTGTTAGGAAGTGTTGAAATATCTAGTACATTCAGTTTAAAGCATACGCGTTAATTTGTTAAAATACATTAAAACTTAACAAATCTTCTATTTTTATTTTAATAACTAATTCCTTGTTTTTTTCAGGCTGAATGGATTCGTGCAAACAATTTTGGAGGCGCGATGATTTTCTCTTTAAATGTTGACGACTGGAACTCCACGTGTAAAATGAACGAATCTTTTCCTTTAACTCGTATGATTACAAAAGTCTTCAGGCATCAGGACTGAAGTATCTATGGTACCAAATTTTCTTTTATTGTAATTTACATTCCGAATAGAAACATTTCATTCCCGATGAAATAACACTAAATTTACTCTCGCTATTCTGAGTACTTTTTGTAAAGTTGTACTAACATTTTGCAGTACAAAATCAATAATTTAATTTAATTAATACAGTATTTTTATTCTATATAATTCATAATTTTCCATTACTTGGAAGTATTCCCATTGATT